GCTGGTGTGGCAGATACCAGCGAGGGGGATGCTGAATGTTGGGATACGGTGGCTGGTGGAGGTGTGTTTTGGACTGGCAGTGGATTGTCCTGGGCAGTCGTGGGGATGGGTTGGATCGGTGGTGTTGGATCCGATGGTAGCTGCTGTTGAAATGGAGGTTGGGTTGGCGTTGAGGCATTGGGAATGTGTGGAGGCGGTGGCGGGGGCCCCGGTTGGAGCGAAGGCTGTGTGACAGGTGGAAAGGCTGAGTAGGGTTGCCAAACGCCCTGGGGGATGGCGCATTGGGGGTCTGTGGATGGATAATTGGCAGTCGTAGGCTGTTGCTGTGTTGGAGGGAGATGTGTCAGTGTAGTGGGGGGAGTGAGTTCAGCCGGCGGCATGGGTTGAGGTGATGGCAACAGGTAGGACGGGGGAGGTGCTGCTGTCGGAAACACCGGAGTTGGATGTGTGGGTTGCGGTGGCACATGACATGGGTGGACAAAAGTCCAAGTGGATGGTGTGCCGTAAGTCAGTGCAGTGGCGGTAGGGGTGGGCAACAACGGTGGTGGTTGAAAAGGTTGCGGTTGTGGGTGAGGGTATGCCGATGGTTGTGTCGAGGGAAAAGTGGGTGCAGTTGATGCTTGTGGCATCGGCCATGTGGGTTGAGGTTGTGTGGTAGGTAATGGTGGTGGCGTGGCGTGAGCGTAGGGCCACGGAAACTGCATGTCGTGGTCGTAGCTATGGCGCGGCGCGGCGCAGCGCAGCAGCAGCGGAGAAATGCCGAGTTGTAGTGTCTTGTGGTTGGTCATTGTCGTTGAATGTGTCATCTCTGGTGTCAGTGGTGAGTATGTTGTAAGGTGGTGTTAAATGTAAGCTTGTTAGTAGCTGTGTGTTCATGCATCTCGAATTAAGCTGAAGAGTCGTAATGCTCATCCTTGAGTTCTGTCAATGAAAGAATCGCGGCAGCAACATAGCGAACAGGGAAACACGCACATGATTGGAAAACATGAAAAGAACACTGAATGCTGAAATCTGAGATCATAAGTTCGGAATCTGAAAGAGTCTTCAAGAACCGTTTTTTGGCCCGGCGGCCGGTGTGTCTTTTGATTCTGTGGGGGTGTCGGTGCCTTCCTGTAAGGTTCCAGTGATCGGTGGAGCGTTGGGGTGGTTGCTTTCCCATGCAAAAACAGCGCCCCTGTGAAGGGGATCACACTCAGCACCCGAGTGGGACGGCTGAGCAGGACACACTTCGAACTTGGATTTTCAGTTAATGCAAGTATCACGTTGGGAAGAAAGGCGAAGAACCGCAGGGCGCAAAGGTCAGTGAAAACAGTATGGTTTAACTTTGTTTGCAGTGGCACTCGAGAAGACGATCGGACACTCAGCGCGGCTGCAAGTCGGCTGTAAGGCTGCGGTGGGTTTGTGGGATGTATCGTGAAGAACCATGAAAACAAACAAGGTCAATTGGACAGCTTGTTCAACCGTTAAAGCAGGTACACATCCATGGCCAGTGGATGCTTCCCTCTCTGATGCCTAGCTTCGTTGGACAGAGTAGCATCAGAGAGCTCTGTCCCCCTGCTCATGTAGAGTAGAAAGAGTGGTGGTGGAAACCCTTTGTCCAGGGTTGGACACACACACACACACACGCACGCACGCACGCACGCACGCACGCGCACACGCACACGCACAGAGACTCGAACACTCGTACGTCGGTGCCCTCATGTTATGACCATCAAACGCGTGTCATTTTCACCCGAATAATCTCTTTTGAATTCTTTTGAGACATCCGGAGACATCATGTCCCCACAAGGCGGGAGTTCTGAACTCCACAGCAGGCGCCAGTTGTGATTGGTGCAAGATTCATCGTAGCGATTCCAAGACTGGTAGAAGGCATGAAGGCATTTGTTGGCTTCTTGCTTATTGTTTCTCATCTACTTCAGTCAGAAATAATCAAACACACATGCCAAAGGTGGAAGCAGCTCCGAGTTTGCTAGCCAATTCGCATTCTAAGTGTTTGCTTTGTTGAAGTGGACTGGGCTACGTGTTTGTTGCGACCCTCGGGCGCCAACCGACAGGCTTGGCCCATGTGGCACCCAAGGTGTGGAAAGGGCCCGCAGATGTGGTAGGTTGAGGTTGATCCGCCATCACGGCAGTCTTACTAAATGATATACTGTAATACAGTAGTAGACAATAGTAGACAGTAAGACTATACTAAATTAAAGCAAGGATGGATCCAAACCATACTAAATTAAACTGTATAATGCAGTAGTAGTATTACTGTAAGTTTGTGGATTAATATGGTTTGGATCCATCCTTGCTTTCTTTCTCCAATGGTGGGTCCCACCAGTCCTTGTGAAATCGCCCTGCAGCTTCGGTTGTTGAAGTGATCAGAATCACGTGGTAGGCTTGGAAAAGTGGATGAAGACCATCAACCAGTCATTTGTTGTTCAAGGAACACCTTCGAGTCTGCATGGAGAAAGATCTATTCGTTGATGCCCATAAAACGAATGCGGACTGACTGGTGGCACAGAACGAAAACCCAGAAGTCAGTTTTGTATACTTTGAAAAGATCACAACTCATCTTGGGGACGGTTCCTGTAGCTCAGCTGGAGGTGGCGCATGTAGTTTGTCCCGGATGTGCAGAAGCTTCCGATGCTGAATTGGACCTGCTTGAGCAAGTAGAGGAGAGATGAGCAGGGTCGAGGTTTACAGTGGGCCACGGCGACAAAGGCAAGATCAAAGCTTAAGTTCGCTTGACCTGATGTGCCAAAACATGTCATTCACGAGAACATGCAGAAATCTTGGTCCAAATCCAGCTCTGCTCTGGTCTTACCATGTGTTGTGATGTGTTTTTCCTTTTCCATAATATGAGTCCTGCACAGACTCCATGGCTTCGATCGAACTTGAGGAGCGAGAGGAAGATGAAATGGTTGCATTGGCATCGCAGGCGTTTGTCAGCTGTCAATAGAAACATGGGGCAGAAACAGTGGGCATGTGGAGTGGCAAGTGGCAGCCTGCTTGCAGGTATATCCCAGCTTGCGAGATGCATTGCATGTTCTACCTACCTTTTGACGCTGCAGGAATCATTTGCTTCTTCCAAGGGGTCACCAATTCAATGGACGGCCCTACACTTATAGGTCTCCATTGGACAACCCTTGGAAGCGCTGGTGCCCTTCCTCCCTAACTGATCGAAAAGGAGCCGACTAGAGTCTGAGTGCACGACAAATGTTGAGCGCAGGCTAAAGTCTCCTTGCTGCAGACGGGCTTGGAGCATCAACATGGCCCTGCAAAAGCCAAGGATGGGCCGTGCTTGCTAGTACATCTATCTTGCAAGTACATGCAAGTACATCAATATTGTGTTTAAGATACTTATATGTCACATGTGTATATGGTTATAGATGAGGCATATACAGTATATATATATAAGTTCTGACCCGGCAATGAATCAGTTGTATTGACGCTCTTATTTTTCTTGATCAGGACATTGCTTACCTTCACGCCAGTGGCATTGAGGATACTGATGAGGCTGGGGATGATCATGGCAGTCTCAGAAACAAGGGGAATGATGAGGGTCAGGCCTAAGTTGAAGATCATCGCAACAAATTGTATCCAGAAAATTCGAACTTTTCATGTACAGGATATCGGATACTTTGATGGTGGGCACGTGTTTCCGGGCTGTGGTTTCGCTGTTTGTTTTGCTGCTTGTCCTGCACGAGAACGGACTGCCTTGCACGGGAATGCCGTCTTGAACACTGAATTGGGAGACATGAAAGATGCCCTTACTATGTGCTATACTGCAGCATGCGTTCTCCGAGCTGACAGGCCTTGGGTTTGCTGGATGCAGCTACCGAGTTGGGCTTTTGATTCTGAAGCCTGGGCAAGTTGCACAGAGTGGCCGATTGGTGACATGTGTACAGACTTTCTGGTGGAGTGTTTCTGTAAATGCAGATGAATACCTTGAGCTGGTTGGCCACCATCCTTTGGCGTGCCTGGGGTTTACAGCCCCCCTCATTACAAGCCTGGACCTGGCATGCAAGACAAGCAGCTTGTCTTGCAGTGATCGAAAGCTGATGGGCAGCTGGCCTCCAGATCCATGGACAACGAATGGGCAAAAGGGCGTATCAGCTTTGAACATACCACATGGCAGTATTAGGAGGGTGCTGGAATTACTGCTGCTGCTACTACCCTTGTCCTACTTGAAGAAAAGACAGTAACAAGAATACTCATTCCACGTTGCTTGTAAGGTGCGGCAAATCTTATGTTGTTCGGACCATCACTCCACAGAACCTCGAATGTGTGTGATGAGTCTTTGCCTGGTCAGCTTCCAAGTGCTCAAGACCTATTGCGTTCCCACCTAGGAACATTCATGTGGTATCGCCTTGCGAGCTCATAGCAACAGATATGACAGCTGATGACAAATCTCAAGATGTTGTTTTTTACATGCTTCACATATGTAGAGATGCATTCTTCACCTGGCAACATGCTGACCTCAAGAGTAGTAGGACTCGACATTGATGAACCCAGCCAGCCTTGATCAGACAGAAGCTAGGACTCCTGTCCCATGTCCCCTTTTCTCCGCCTCTCATGACCCATCTGCTCATCCCTTCATGATCTATTCCGCTCGGATCCCTACAGGACACTTGTCCCCCATTTTTCTCAACTCATCTCACTCGGCACGTCGACTCGCCATGAGCGACCCTGAAACATCGGGGGCCGGGTCTTCCCAGTTGCCAAGCATGGAACGGTGGAACGTTGGGTGGAACGGATGTGACTGATGGGTTTCCTGTTCTTATGCCAACGTTCAGAATGATCATACAGAATGGTCATGTATATTGTAGATCTTGTGTTGATACAGCCACTGTTGACATGCAATTTGCATCTGCAGATTCATGGGTGTGGGTCGAAACATGTGGCTCAGGGTTCCACCAGAAACTTGGGCAGCATGGGAGGCTACAGATTCTTGACCCACAGTTCACTGTCAAAGCACAAATTGTTGTCAACCAGTGACAGTGACTTCGCAGGTTGGAATTGAGAATGAGGCCAGCTTTGCGTAGGCATAGGTGAAATTATCCGTCTCAGATGGGCGTAGCTTCTAACCAGATGTGCTCAACCATTTGCGAGCTAAGTGTTTCTACAGTATGAAGTAGGACGCCTCTGGGTCTTTCATGATTGACTCTCCTATATGATTTCAGACTTGACAGAAGGCCTTGGCCATCGCAGCTCATGTTGAACTTAGCCAAACTTGGTGAGCTTTGATGCGGCACACTGTGCCTTAGCATTCTACACATGACACAATATGTGTATGACCTTATCAGTTGTCTCACTCACTGCACTTGTCGCATGGTTGAATGTTGAACGATCGGAGCTTGGCCGAGGTTTCTCAAACAGCCGAAGTTTGTCTCAGAATCCCACCTAGCTTCCTTTGAAACAAAGCATCCAGATTCTGCTGCTTGCATTGCCCACTTGGCAGGTTTCCTTGACCGACTCGGCGGGAAAACCCAGACTCACGCAGTAAGAGTGCTTGTTTGAACATCTAAGAATGGAATTCGATGGACACCAAATCCAACAGATCACGAAGTTCCACCAACGACCCAAGCGAATTCCACCGCACCGATGCTTTTTGAGACACCTGGTGTCCGCTCAAACGGGTCCCCAGGCTCGGCTGAGCTTGGTCAGAGTGCAAGAGGCGCTGTCACCGGGTTCTCCGGTTCTCCGGTCACAGAGGCCAGAGCCCAACAAGCACCATGGGCGCGCGGTTTAAACCGTGTGGCCCTGCCTCCTTACTCAGTTAAGTAGGCGCTTACTTCAGTAAGTTTAGCGGAGAAGTTCGCTCCTAAGGTCCTAGCTAGGACGCAGGATAGCTCACGCTTCAAGGAAAGCTCCCCCGGCCTGAGGCCGGGGGGGAGCCTCCTTGAAGAAGCGCTTGCGATAATGATTTGGTTCCTAGATGTGTAGGGAAACTTAACTTGCACAGCTTCCATGGCTAGGATGCTTGCGTATGCTTGCGTGTCATACCTGAGTGCCATGCTGTTCGTAGTTGCTTGTGATGGGTGCGTATGAATTTGATTATGTTATACTATCTCATTTTATAACGTGTTGAGCTATGAGCTTCGTGTAGAATCTGCCAGGAATTCTGCCTGGGATGACAACCCAGCTTTGCATATTTTGCATGGGCCATTTGTTCCTGATAACTCATACCATATCAGCATCAGCCAGCTGTTTTCATAGCAGGTGCTTCAGAGCATCTTCGAGTTCTATGCCAGATGGGACTCAGTGTTGTTTTCTTCTTTCAAGCTGGCCAATACTCTTATACGTATTTGTTTGAAGGAAGAAACTCACACTAATTTCAATCTGATTTGTTTAGGTTGTTTACGTCTCTCGGCCCATGAAGTGAAGAGACGGTTCTTGTTGATCAGTGGTCTACGGTTCTCAAAGCTTTCAAGAAATAGATGTCTCGGTTTGCGCCTGTAGCCTGAGAGTTGCCGCGTACAGCTCCGTGCTTTTGAGTTCTTGCCGGCTTTGGCCAAGGTGCTACAGCTTTGCAAGAGCCGAGGCCAGCCAGACAGGGGCACGGCTGGGCACAGATGGACGGCTGGGAATTTCTCCAAAAAGCAACTGCTTTGTTTCGATTCTGATGTCAAAAGCGATGGCCTCCACCCTAAGAGCGATGGCCTCCAACCTTTCTTTATTCATTGCCATGACACTTAGTTTGATCTCTAGAAGGTCCAAGTGCTGAAGATGTTTCTTTGTACAGTTGGTTTTGCGACATGCTCATTCACCATGTGCCAACACCTTATGTGCGTTGATGTACTGTGATGATCAAGAAACAGATGGATAAGTAAAGCGTTGCCGTCACCCCACAATATTCACGAAAGCTAGCATCAGCTAGCTGGAGTTGCTCTTGCTTTAGCAAGTCAAGGGCTCGCAGCCTCGAGAATCATGAATCACGTGAAAACTTCACGTGTAGGGGGGGGCCCCCCCCCCCGCGGGTTCAACTCCCCCCTGGGACGCTTCCGGAACGTGCTATAGTGCTATGTTTAGGTGGCAGGTGAAGTAGGCCACTGTTTGAGTTTGGAAGGGGGGGGCATGAAACATGAAATTTACGCGAGGGTTCAAGGCTTCAATGATGAGCATCACGGGAAGTCAGAAACCAGGCGTATCAGATACACGTGCCTTTGAGCTTCCTTCGGCATCTCAGTGCATATGGCTGACACTTCACTCGACAAAGATGCTCAAACAAACATACATAAGCCAGGTGTATCTGATACGCCTGGTTTGTGACTTCCCGTGATGCTCATGATGCTGCGTTGCTTTTCTTCAGTCCCTCATTACATATACATGACGATCCAACAGCAGATTCAACAAGCTCACATGCTCATGACATCGACATCGATAGAAGAAACCAAACAAATCATGCAAGCAGCTTTGTTTTGCCTCTGGGACACCTCTTGGGCACCTCTTATGGCATCCACACTGGTTCAACTCCTCCGTGGAGGTTTTGGGATACAGCGCAACAGATTCAACAAAGTCACAGGTTCGTGAACACATCGGATGCATCGAACAGTGTGGCAAAGTCCAGCCACGCTTCCTTAATTATCGGGGACTTCAATTCTAAGGTTGGCTGTGTCATTGCTGTTTGTGTGTCTTACATGTTCACAACCTCATGAGCATTTGCCTCACTCCGCTTGATGTCCCACCAGTCCGGATGCACCCCTGCTAGCTTTCGTCACCTACCCTCGGCCTCAAGTTTGTCGTTGCTGTATTGTATATATATATATGCCTAAAACACTGCAACATACCAGTGAAATTAAGCCTATGGTTTCTTTTGGGGGGTACCATATGTATGTGTATATATATATACATATAGTCTAACCGACAACCCTGGTTGGCATGTGGGCACCGATCTAGAGTCCATTATACAGGGAACGAACAGGGAACCAAGAGTAAACCAAACTTCTTGCAACAGAACCAGATGCATTGAAAACAATACAACACAAACACAGGTAAGTAAGCAGAATACCACAGGCAGCCATGGACTACAGTGGTTTGCTAGCAAGCTTGCAGATGGTGCCCCTTACAAGTAGAAGTTTACAACTTCCATTGTTTTGCTCTTCTAGAGTGGCAAGAGAGTCGTTTTCCGGCAGTTTGAAATACTGGTATGGTGTTCAAAAGGATAAAAGGTGAGTTTCTTCATTTTCATCCACGTCAATTAAGCACCTGTTGCAAAATTGAAGTTAATGGCTTCGTGTGCTTGTACTTGCCTGTAATGACAGCTGCTTCTGGCCTAGGCTTACAAATGCCAAGTTTACTCGCATTGTACAGGGCTCAGGTTTCCATCACTGCAATGCTGCTTTGCCTTCCGTTACTCAGGGTGACGCAGATTAGGAAGCACCGAATGATAATGAACAGATGATAAGAGCAATCAGATGATGCACGCCCCGCCTTCTATGTCTGGCTGCAGCAGCAGCCGTTCCACGAACTCCGCTGAGACGTTTGATCGAGCCGATTTTTGCCAATTGAATGCTCATGAAAAAAAGGATGGGTTGGTCACTGGTCCAATCTCAGCTCTATGGGGTGGACCAACCCATCCATGCCTGGCCTTACTACTAGGAGATCTAGGAGCAAGAAGCTACTAGGGGCTCCTGGCATCGCTACTAGTAGCAAGGACGCTACTAGGGGCTCCTGGCCTTACTACTAGGAGCAAGAAGCGACTAGGAACCCATCCATGGTGTGTCCGGGCTGCGGCCGAACGGCCCATGGAACGCTCGAGGTCATGGATGCAGCTTTGGTCGATGAGAAGCTCACGCCAGCAAAGGACGGCAGAGCGGGACGGAATTGCAGAGATTTCGCATGCTTGGCACCCAAGAGGAACAACCAAGTTAAGTGTGAAGCTAAATTGAAGATCCCCCCAGAAAAATAGGCCGTGGCGTTTGTGCCATCCACTCTACCACAGCTTGGAGGAAACAAGTTGCTTGTTATATGTTATTTGAAGACTCACACACAAGGAATCATGTGTGTTTGTGAGAAGCATACAAGGAGCGTATCATGCAGCTTCATTGCAACGTGTTTTTGCAATACTTTTGACAAATGATGACTTGTTGAACTTTGGAAGGAGGCCCAAAGAACTTACCAAGCAGTCGGGTCTTTTAGATGTGCACAAATCTTGAACAGAATTCAGTGTGGAACCGGTCGATAAAGATTTGACTAAGGTGCCAAATGGTGCCAATAGTACTAGAGAAGCCCGAGAACCTCCGCCGGTGTGCTTGAACCACATTTCAAAGAATAGAAGGCTACTCTGCGTCAGTTACACCATGTTGGGTTAACGGTGGGTTTGCTCCGCAAAACAACTGTAATCGTTTGCAATGTGTTCATGCCGTTTCGATTGTGACTGAAGGCAACCCCCAAACCCACCAGATCCCATGAGGTTGTCAATAAGAGTCAACTCAAGTGCTTTTTCCGAAAGTCTTGATTTAAGAGTGTATGTTCGATAATTCCGGTTACTGTAATTCAATTGATTAAGCCAGTATGTTCAATAGTAGTTGATTTAATTCAGTATGTTCAGAAGCTTTCAACGGTGCGCCTGCTTTTCAGGTGGATGTGACCTTCAGCAGAGCCACTCCGACATGCTTGAAGCGGATGTTGAACATACGCAAGCATTTCCCAAGCCATGATCGTAGTTGGGCCTTGTGTAGTTTTGCTTAGGCTCTAGACAGGAAAGGACTTGAAAGGACTCTTTACAGGCTGAAAAAGCGTGACCAACGCTGGCTGAGAAAATATGAGAAGCTGTATCCTCACTGCATGATTAGAATAGGTATGTACACAGACTTGATGGTCCCACACTTGTGCAGCTTCGCCCCACAGGTGTGTGGCAACTCGCCCCACATGATGCTGCCCCAATTTCGTGATGCAGTTGGGACCACCCAGTTGCTTGGACCAGTTCTTGTTGAATTCGATTTGGCTCATTGTTTTGACGTTTTCTCAATGGCCTTTCTTGTGAATGTTGGGAGCAACATCTCTCAAACAAACATGGAACTCGATTCTCTTAAGCATCTCAAGCAGTCTCAAGCTCTCAGGCCATGTTTTAGTCCAAGTGGCCAAGGAGAGTGCGCAAATCTAGAATCTAAGAAGCCTAGCAGAGGCCGCAACTGGCCGTGGAGTAGTAAAAATGGCTTACCTCTTTGGCTCTCATCGTCAGTGGGTCGATCAGCCTTCCCTTCGTCTCGTGTTGCAACGACGTTCTCGCCTCAGATGGTCCGCTTGGCGGCCATCAAATACCCGCAGCTGTCTCGAACGGAGGCGTGGGGCGAACGGGACGGCGAACGGTTCGCTTCGATGTTTGATCAAGACCGAAAGCTGGTGGCGAACGAGCACCGACTTCTAAAGGCTCTTTGACATGCAGATATCTGAGATCTTTTCGCATTTTGTGGTGGATGTATGATGTAAATGTGGATCATTCCGATCCACAAGCGCTTGAGCTAGATTCGCTAGAGCCTTCAGATTCTTTGATTGATGCATGATGATGCATGGTCATGTTTGACCACCAACCCCTGGGCGCATCATGTTGTCTCGATTTGTTCATCGTCCGGTGCGGAGAGCCCCTGGTGTGAACTGAGGCAGTTTTGCAGATCTTCAAAAACCTGGCAACGTTTCAGGGGCAAACCAAAGGCGCGCACGTCCTGCAGTCTTGAGTCTTTTTGGTGTCCCGCGTTTGTTTCTGTTGATACTGTCCTTTTCTTACATAATCAAGCTCGCACTTTTAGTGTTGGAGAAAAAGCAACAAGGCTTTAACCATCGAGTGCAGAAAAGTGAATCAGGACCAGCGGTCACAGCTGACACGTCGCCGAATTGGGTCAGCACATCCCGATGAAGACATCGTCTGATTGGCACCCAAACGGTCGTAAATGAGTTTGGACTCGAGAGACCTGAACAAACCCTGAAAGTAGATGGACAATCAAGCCGTCGGAAGACATGGCCCGTAAGTCTTATAATAGATAGATATCATGCTTCTAAGACGTTTTGGAATGTCCAGAAGCGACTTTGTGCGCAACTTCCCCACCAGCACATAATCTATCCGTTGGCCTTTGTTTTTTATTGAGCTCTTTGCACACAATGTCTGTTGATAAAGACTGAATCAGAACTATCACACAAGGTTAGATTTTGTTCATTTGCAGTATGCCGTTTTTGTACATCACCCACGGGTTTAAACAATAGACTGGTATACGGTATACGCTGGAACATGTCCTTTTCATCTCTAGAAAAGATGACTTGTTATGATGCTTCTCCGATAGACAAAGTTGGAACCCATGCGAAGAACACGTTAGTCTCATTTTTAGCCTGTCATGCAGCCACACGAGCCTCAGATGTTTTCTCCGAGCTTGACGATGCCGTGTTGAGCCTTTTGGGCATCGCCCGGCACGGGTGCCCAAAACGTTCTTTGCCGCCACATCGAAGCACGTTGAAGCGCTGTGCGAGAGCAAAGCTAAAACTATATTGAGTTAAACAGAGGAGTTTCACTTGTTCAGCTGTAGTACCGGCTGGTTGGAAGGAAGAGGAGGAACATGCAGATGTCGGCTCAAGGATGACAGACTTGAAATTTTTAGAGCCCGAGTCATATGCAGAACAGGACCCGAGAAGCGGCTCACAGTCGTGAAAGTTTGCAACCCGACAGGGCAGAAAAAGGGCCTGCCGTAACCAGATCCAAGTCTGTTAAACACAGACGAACGAAGGGTTTGAGGGTCGAAGTCACTGGACTGTCTTAGCGTCTTAGTGGATAGGAAAGCTTCGAAAGGGCTTTGGAATCTTTGGATAGGTGATGTTTCATGTCTTTGTAGTTGTAAGTGAGGGCAACTCCAAGTGGATGTTGAGGGTCTCAATGAGTCTCGATCATTTTGTAGAATAGATTGCAGGAAAGAAGCGGGAAGCATAGACATTCACGTTTATCTGGTATATTTGGAAGAATTTGTTCCGGTTCACTCATTCTGTCTTTCTTCTATCATCATATAACCTGATATAGTAGTAGGATGTAGTAGGCATTTTTCTAGCACCAAGTAGTAATGTCGACCTCATAACAATAAATGCCCCCTGAATAATGCTAAACTTTTCCAAAAACTATTAATCAAAGGAAGTTTAGAAGGAACTTCCGTGTTACGGACATTCAACAGCTGTTCAACCACCACTCATCATACACCACTCATCAGATTTCGTGGCAGGTGCAGCAATTTGTGAACCTCCATGTGCAGATTTCGTGGCAGGTGCAATGCAAAATGCGTTTTCGAGAGATAGCGGACGCACGAAATGCTGTATTTTTCAATAGAACCGGTGGCTTCGAACCTGGCAAGTCTAGCTCTGCGGAACGACTGTTGCGAGACGGTCTCGGGTCATGCTCGGTCGGCCGTCCATTGTGATTAGGTTTTCACTTGTCTCTTGAAGTGCAGATTTCGTGGCAGGCGCAGCACTTTGTGAACCTCCATGTGCAGATTTCGTGGCAGGCACAGC